GAGGGGCAGGACTCCCCTGCACAAGGAGCTGCATTTCCGGTTTCCTGCCCTGGGGATCCTGCAGCCACTATGTTTACCGAGTGACTTGGGGGCCAGCACCCCTGCAGGTGGAGGGGGCAGAGCACCTGGTCCGCTCCCCTCTCTGGAATGCCACCCGCTAACCTGGACAACGGGGTGTGAGTAGGAGGTGAGCACAGCCCGAGTCTGTGTTGTGTTCGTTCTCCACAAACAGCAGCAAAAACACATCCTTGTGCCTCTGTGTTTGGGGGGAACCCGGCCCACCTGTCAGGTGTGTGGCCCAGGTGCAGAGGCAGCTCCTCCCAGGAGGGGCCCATCGAGGCCGGTCAGGGGTCGGCAGGAGACGGCGAGTGGCAGCACCGGCGCTGTGAAGTGCTGGTCACTCCCCAGGACGCAGACAGCAAGGGCAGGAGCTTGGCTGGTCGGCCGTCCCCACTGCCAGCTCTAAGGCGTGAAGGGAAACTGAGGCCTGTGTCCCTCAGCGCTCCGGGCAGATTTGCTTCATCTCTTTGCGTCTCGGGTTTCCGGTGGGAGCAAGCCCGATGCAGCCAGATGCCTCCAGGTGGCTGGTGTCCACGTGTGAACGTGCTTTGGGGAGACGGAGGCAGGACCACCAGCTCCCGGGACGGCAGTGCAGGCAGCTCTCAGGGGCGTGTCCCCTCCTGCCGGACCTCTGGGCCTCCTGCAGGCCGAACCCATGCTCAGCGGCTGGCTGGTCCTGCTGCAGGAAGGGACGTGTCCTGCTCTGGGATGCAGTGAGCACTGCCCGTCCCCTGGCCCAGAGCTGAGACTGGCTCCCTCTGGCCGGTCAGCAAACGGGACCAGCAGACGGGCCGTGGTGTAAACACGCAGGCGGGAGAGTCCCAGCATGCCCAGCTGTGCCTTCTATGCCCAGAGGCTCCGAGGGGAAGCCTGCAGGACGGTGGGGCATGTGTGTGTGGGTGCACACCTGTACGAGGGTGCGTGTGTGTGAGTGTGCACACATGTGTGTGTTTGCAAAGTCCTGGTCCCGGCTCAGCGTGGCTGCCGGGCTAGGGGTCTGCCTGCTGTCAGGGCCTCGCCGCTGTGAGTGACAGGGCGCAGGTGAGCTTGCACCACGCACTCTGCACCCTCGCAGATCCTGTGGGCCGCCTGGTGGGGAGGCGGCGAGCGAGTCTGTCCCGGCTGAGCCGGTGGCTGAGGGAAGGCAGAGTGGGGTCCTCCGTGGCCCTCCCATCGTCCAGTGAGCAGGACTGAGGACCGGACGGGAGGGCGGCCCTGAGTCCCTCAGTGGACAGAGTTTACAAACCTCATTATCTTCACCTGGTTCAGCTGCTGGTGCAGGTGAGGGCCTTGCTCAGAACCAGGGGGTTTGCACTGACCTCGGACCTGACCCATACCAGTCACCCTGCAGGGGTGCCCCTGGGAGGGCAGTGGGCAGACTCCTGGATGTACTGTGTGTGTGTGTCCATGTGTATGTGTGTTTGTTCATGTGCACACATGTTTGCATGTATCCCTTTGTGTGTGCATGTGCGTACACACATGTGTATGAAGTCTCACTGGACATGACCGCTTCTCCAGCTTCTTGCTTCTCTGCTGAGTGTGGGCGCCCGACCCCAGTCCCCACAGGCCCCACAGGCCCCACAGGTACCAGGCCTCGGTCTCCCCGTAAATCTCATCTTTCCCCAGGTCAGGTCCTCGCTGCTCCTCCCTCCGCCGCTCACAGTAGCTCAAGCCGAGGAATGTCGCTGTAAAAATGAAACGATGTGAAACAAGAAGACATCTCATCCGCCTTTGGTTGAGGCAGATCTCGGCGTTGGCAGCTGGTGCCAGAGCGTTTGCATTCCCTCCGACGCGGGAAGGCCTGCGAGGGGACAGCGGCTGCGGCAGCCATTAGCGGCCTTAGAAGCAACATCAAGGCGTCTGTGTGCTGACTGGTCTCTTTGTTGCCTGAGAGGCACATTTTATGACCTACCCAGGATAGTACACATGAACGTGCATGTGTGCGCATATGGATGTAATGGCACAAGTGTACACGCACTGTCATGGAACGTACGTAGACATCGAGATCAGGCAGAACTACAGTTACCCGCGGGCCCAGATCACCCGGATGCGAGCTGCAGAGGTCGTGACTGGAGGTCAGCACCAGGTGTCTGGGGAGACTGTGCAGCCTGGGGGCTCGGACCAAGGAGAGCCGCTCCCCTCGAGCGAGGCCCTGGCTCCTGGCCTCCGGGAGACCTCTGGTTGGGGGTGACAGCAGTGCCTTCAGGGGTGTCACGAGGATTATATTAAACCACCTTAAGTACTTCAAGTGCTTGTATGGTGTCTGGTGCATAAATGCCCAGGGACCTAGAGTCATTACCCCTGAGGGTGTGCCCTGTGCCCCCCCCTGCACGGCGGCACCTTCATGCCCTGGGCACCTCCCACATCTCGGTGTTCAGGGCCTTTCAGACCCAGCCTCCCCCACCCAGACTCCCACCCCAGCCTCCCCACACCCCAGCCCCTGGAACCCATGGTGCCCCCTGTCCTGTGCACCGAGGTCAGGGCAGGTGGCTGCTCAAACAGACAAAGGAGTGAGCAGGACGAGGGCCCAGTGCTGCCTTCCCCGTGTGCGGGCCTGACGTCTCCATGTTTGTGTTCCTCTGGCGAGAGCAGGGGCCGCGGCCGCACAGCCGAGGAGCGGCCTCTGCTCTGGACTCTGCGGCCTCCCTGCCCGGACGGGTTTGCAGAGCCTCCTAGAGCTCCTGCCGCCGGCCCTGCCCTCCTGGCACCTGAGGCTGCCCGCCTGGCCGTCCTGCTCCTGGCCCCCTGGGACGGGCATTTCTCTGGGGCAGTTCAAGTGGGGCCCCGTCTCCCTCTCAATCTCTCACACGCTCGTTAGCACAGTTCTGTGCACAAAAGCACGCAATGAAGAGCCCTGTGGGTTTGCTCTTCTTACCAAACTGGTGCCCCTTCTTTTTGTCCCCAGTCCCTGGCACTCGGTGAGCCCTGGGGGCCGCTGGGCGGAGTCGTGCTGTTGTATCGCTTGGCGCATCCTCCCTGCACGCCTGCTGGGGCTGTCACACCTGCCCCCCCAACCCCCGCCTCCCCGGGCAGAGCCCTGGGTGACACTGACCAGAACCCAGTGTGACTGAGTGACCCTGGCACTGGGCACTGGAATCTGTCAATTTGGGGAATTAATCTGCGGGAGACTGAGCCAGGGCCGGGCCGGGCCGAGGGGCTGCCTGCTGCTGGGATGCTCTCGGTGGGGGGCTAACGAGGACCCTCCGACAGGCCAGGGCCGCCTGCTCCTTGGGAGGCTGTCCCACTGGGAGGCGGACTGGGGCCTCTCGTGCCCCACCCCGGAGCAGGTCCCAGAATGCACCAGGCTGGGCAGTGCCTCACGCGTCGCCCACTGAGCCCTGGTGCAGGGAGGTCACCGACAGTGGTTCCCGCAAATCCCCAAATTCCAAATCCAAAACGCCTTCCGCAGGAGAGGCCGGCAGACGCGACCCTGTCCCAGCGCCAGAGGCCAGCGGGCTCCAGGGCCCTGCCCTCCACGCTGCCCTGGTGGCCCGGCAGGAACACGGCCTGTCCTGGAACGTGGCCTCTACTTGGGAGCTCCGGCCTCGGAGCCTGGGTGCCGGGACCTGGGAGACGCGGCCGGAAGGGCAGCTGTGCTGTGTCCTGCAGACGCTCTTTGGATGGTGACTGACCCTCCGCTCGGCTCTGGGGCAGGAGCCCGCCGTAGACGGAGGCCCTCAGAGGCCTGCTGCTCTGAGCTGCTGGCCAGCCCTCCTGAGCGGCCGGGGTCAGGGACTCGGGTCTCTCCCCGCCGACACAGAGGAGCGACCCTCAGGGGGCTGGCGGGACCCCGTGTCACTGACCGCGTGCCACGTGTGCGTGAGCGTTCTTTGTGGACGCGCATTAGTTCAAGTTTAATTACACATAATAAGACATAATGCATGCATTACACACACGCACACACACATAATTGCTGAAATGAAAATGGGTTTCCAGTTTTTAAGAAATCCCCCAAATAAAGTAAATATCAAACACGGGAATTCTCCTGAAGGATTTAGAACGCTGGAAGCTTCCGGCGTGTTTTCCACGTTTAGGGAAGCCCCGAAGTCTCCGACCATTAATCACCGCTCAGTAATGTAAACACACCCTCTCCGCCCGAGGCTGTGGCTTGCTCAGCCGGACGCAGGCTTTCCTGGATCCCTGCTCTCCTGCCACTCACAGCGCCCAGCTCTGCAAGGCCGTCGGGCAGGACCAGGCAAGGCCTGGCCCACGTCTCCGCCGCCACGCGAGCCACATGGCATCCACGGCCCCAGAGCTGACCTTTGCGTGGCGGGTCCCCGCCCGGACGGAGCCGCAGGAATGTGAAATGTGCCTGGCAGGCCCTCGGGGTGAGGCTGCCTGGACGCTCACCTGACTCCCCTACACAGAAGCCACCTGGGCCGAATGGTTTTCGTAAAAAAATGTGCTGTTTTTTAAAAATATATGTTTTTATTGATTTCAAAGAGGAAGAGAGAGAGAGAGAGAGAGAGAGAGAGATCAATGATGAGACTCATGGATTGGCTGCCTCCTGCACCCCCTGCCCCCCCACTGGGGATTGAGCCTGCAATCCAGCATGTGCCCTTGACCAGAATCGAACCTGGGACCCTTCAGTCTGCAGGCCGACACTCCATCCACTGAGCCAAACCGGTCAGGGCACAAAATGTGCTGTTTTGCCTGCGAAGATGCCCACAGTGTTCTGACCGCTGCCCACATTGGTCGGTCTGTCCACCGCCGGGATGGTCAGCGAGCATCACACCCTCAGTGCAGCCCCGGCGGCAGAGGCTCCTGACCACAGCTGCCCCGTCACGGCCGCGTCCCCGGCGACTTGCATGCGACCAAAAGTGGTGTGTTTGCCCCAAACCTGCTGTGATTACTGCGCTAAGTTACTCTAGTGATGCGCTTAGTCGGTGCACACCTCGCGGTCTCGCTGGAAAGAGAACGAGCTGGTTCTTTGGGAAATGGAGCCGATGGCTTTGGGGAGACTCGATCAGGTCGTGCTGCTGACACCGCTTTACAGTTGCTGTGGGGAGGACCCTGCCAACGGCCGAGAGAAAATGGTAAGTGAACCCACGGCTTCCCTTTGAAGAAACACAAACTGGAAGTTAGTGGGCGAAGCAGAAAGACCCAGGGTCACCCAGGGGGATGCCCACCCAGAGGGGAGGCCTGTGACCCCTGAGACGGGCGAGGAAGCTTTGGTTCCGTGCGAGCACCTGTGACCCCCCTAAGCTCCCTGCTTTGCTGTGACTTGTCGCTGGATTGTGAGGCCTCGCTGCCAGGTAAGGGCCCCACACGACCAGACGCGCAAGGCGATGCTCATCTCTCCACCGTCTCTGTGTCCTTGTTGGACGATGTCACACTTGCACGGCCTGGAAACATCCTTCCAAAGCCACTCACTCCACTGGGAGGAGTTAGGGGATGGAGAGACTGATACAGACTCACCATCACGTCTCAGACTCACCATCACGTCTCAGTGTCACCATCACGTCACAGCGTCTCCATCACATCACAGCGTCACCATCACATCACAGACTCACCATCACGTCTCAGCGTCACCGTCACGTCACAGCGTCACCGTCACGTCGCAGCGTCACCATCACGTCTCAGCGTCACCGTCACGTCACAGCGTCACCGTCACGTCGCAGCGTCACCATCACGTCTCAGCGTCACCGTCACGTCACAGCGTCACCGTCACGTCGCAGCGTCACCATCACGTCTCAGCGTCACCGTCACGTCACAGCGTCACCGTCACGTCGCAGCGTCACCATCACGTCTCAGCGTCACCGTCACGTCACAGCGTCACCGTCACGTCGCAGCGTCACCATCACGTCTCAGCGTCACCGTCACGTCACAGCGTCACCGTCACGTCGCAGCGTCACCATCACGTCTCAGCGTCACCGTCACGTCACAGCGTCACCGTCACGTCGCAGCGTCACCATCACGTCTCAGCGTCACCGTCACGTCACAGCGTCACCGTCACGTCGCAGCGTCACCATCACGTCTCAGCGTCACCGTCACGTCACAGCGTCACCGTCACGTCGCAGCGTCACCATCACGTCTCAGCGTCACCGTCACGTCACAGCGTCACCGTCACGTCGCAGCGTCACCATCACGTCTCAGCGTCACCGTCACGTCACAGCGTCACCGTCACGTCGCAGCGTCACCATCACGTCTCAGCGTCACCGTCACGTCACAGCGTCACCGTCACGTCGCAGCGTCACCATCACGTCTCAGCGTCACCGTCACGTCACAGCGTCACCGTCACGTCGCAGCGTCACCATCACGTCTCAGCGTCACCGTCACGTCACAGCGTCACCGTCACGTCGCAGCGTCACCATCACGTCTCAGCGTCACCGTCACGTCACAGCGTCACCGTCACGTCGCAGCGTCACCATCACGTCTCAGCGTCACCGTCACGTCACAGCGTCACCGTCACGTCGCAGCGTCACCATCACGTCTCAGCGTCACCGTCACGTCACAGCGTCACCGTCACGTCGCAGCGTCACCATCACGTCTCAGCGTCACCGTCACGTCACAGCGTCACCGTCACGTCGCAGCGTCACCATCACGTCTCAGCGTCACCGTCACGTCACAGCGTCACCGTCACGTCGCAGCGTCACCATCACGTCTCAGCGTCACCGTCACGTCACAGCGTCACCGTCACGTCACAGACTCACCGTCACGTCTCAGTGTCACCGTCACGTCTCAGTGTCACCATCACGTCACTGCCTCACTGTCACGTCTCAGTGTCACCGTCACGTCTCAGCGTCACCGTCACACTATAGTGTTATCCTCACACTACAGAGTTACCCTCACGGACGGAGCTCCGTTATGATCCAATGTTGCCGTATGGAGGGACCGTCAGTCTGGTGCGGTCACTGCCATAATCTGAGGACGGTCCCTGAGAACAAGCCTCTCTTCTTTACTGAAGGTCCGTGCAGAGTCAGCGAACATTGTGCCTGAGCGTCCTGCCCCTGCCCCACATCCGGTCCCGGCGGCCTCCTCCCTGAGGGGTGGAAGCTGGGCACGGGCCGGGCCCTGGACCTGCCGTGGGCTGCAGGGGGAGGGAGTGAGGGCCTCAGTGGGTGGGAGACGGGGCCCTGCATGGCCCGGGGCTGGGTGCTGGGAGCAGCATCTGACAGAGGCCTCCTGGCGGGACGCTGACAGGAAAACAGCAGAACGGGTGGAGGGCCTGCACCTGCTGGAGGGCGGGGGCGATGGCAGCGCGGCCCACAGCCGCCTCTCCGCCTGCGCAGGGCGGTGATGGATGCCTGGCGCTGCTAACGAAGGTTAAGCAACACTTACTGTGCCGAGCAACGGGGATCTGGAACAAACGGCTCAGGCCTGACGCTCAATCATCTTTAATTAATTAAGCGCCCGCAGTGCTGAGGAGGTGGGAGGGGCTGCCCCAGCCTGGGCAGGCTCCTGATTGCACAGCAGGTGACAGCAGAGCCGTTCTCGCTGCAGGGCCGGCGCAGGGCTGGGTCGGGACCAGCATGGGCACAGGGGAGGCGGACGTGCCTGCAACCCTGGACTTTCCGCCCCAGCGACAAAAGCCACAGGACAAACACAGGCCAGGCCCCCAGAATGGCTCCTGGAGCTCCCCCTCTGCTCCTCCCGATTTCTCACCCAGCCTCGCCCGGGTCTCTCCTCGCACCGGCTCAGAGCTTCCCACACGGGGCACCATCCCCCTCCTCCGGCTCACGTGACCTTGCCGGTGACCTTTCCGGGGGAATCAGGCCACCCACTCCCGAGGGGAGGGCATCCCTCAAAGTCTTAAAGAAAAATATACAAACATTTTTATTAAAAAAATACAAACTAATTTCACAACTTGGGCCCAATCAGAAAAAAGCTGAATTGTCAAATGGCCACTGGGAAGGTGCCTCTGTGAAAGCCACTCTCTTTGTTGTTAAAGGAAACGGCTGGAGACGGGGCTGCCGCGCGCAGGTCCCGGGAGGTGGCTCCGGACGGCCTGTGCTGCTGGAAGCTGTGTCCGTCTGTCTGTCTCTCCATTTGTGCCCCTCACTCAACAGAACCGACCGCCAGTGGCCACCGGCCAGGCAGGAGGCAGCCCAGGAAGCGCCTGTGATGCCCGTGTGGAAGGAGGTCCCGCAGCCCGTCCCACCTCCTCCCAGGGACACACCGTCACCACCCACCTCGGCCTGGCTTCCCTGCCCCCGGGGATGACGGGGACGACGTCACGGAACATTCTGGAGTTCTGTGGTGTATTTATTGCCGAGTTTCCTCTTCATCCAACAGCTGCTACCCTGGCCCCCCTCTCCCCACATGCCTGCCCTTCTGGCGGCCGGGCGACCGGAGATGCCCCTGCAGGAGCCCTGACACCCCGACACTGGCTCAGGTCTTCACTGAGCAGGAAGCGAGGGAGAGGCCACAGGCCTGGGTGGTGGGCGGAGCCACACACTGTGCCCCCCTCCCTCTGAGGCCCAGACTGGAGCTGAGTCCTGGGTGAGGTGCAGCCGGAGGCTGGCAGGAGGGTCACCTGCTCGGGGGTGTCCCAGTAGCTACACTGAGTCTCTGCCCAAACCCACACGCGTGGTCCACCTGCAGCTCAGCCCACCGCGCAGACCCACGTGGCCCTGGGTGTGGCCCTGGGTGTGGCTCTGGGTGTGGCCCTGGAGCCTGCTCTCAGGACCACCCTCTCCCTGCAGGTGACAGTCCAGCTCTAGCCACAGCAGGAAAGGGGGCACCCTGTGAGTAAGGGGAGGCTGGGGTTCTGGGATCCCCCAAATCTAAAGGTGGAGCTAACCATGTGCACACTGGCCCTGTGGCCTCGTGGGAACTCGCCATGTGGGAGGCAGAGCTGCTTCTAAGGGCAGCACTGGAGGCACCGTCGCCGGAAGGGCCATCGTTCTTGGCTGCAGCGGCCATTTCCATTGACCCCAGCGGACACCCCTGTCAAGTGAACCCAATGTTTCCTGCACTCGACAACCCAGAAGGAGGTGCCCTCGCCCGCCCAGGGCCCCCTCCAGGCTGCGGGCCCCGGGGGTTTCCAGGGTCTGGACCTGCCCCTGCCTCCCTCCCACAGACGCAGGCAGCTGCCTCCTGTCAACCCGGGGTCAGGGGGCTGAGCCTGGGGAAGCCCGCAGGCGCCTCCCCTCTGGGCAGACCTCTCGGGGCCCAGGCCTGTGCCCCGCACCCAGCTCTGCCCACCTCCCCCTGCGAAGCCACCACCCAGCTCCCTAGTGTGGGCCCTAATTCTCGCCTGGACGCACGGGCGCACAGCACAGATGCGTGTCGCTTGAGGTCAGACCACACGCCTGCCCTTGTGAAGGTGTGCGGTTCTGTGGATGCTCAGGCAAGTGGCGATGTGAGTGACCGTCACAGTCAGGACACAGCACCTCGCACCGCCAGCCCCCGGCCGGTCCCCTGCAGCCCCACCCATGTCCCCAGCGCCCGGCACCCCCCTCGCTCTCTCTCGTGTCCTGTCAGTGTGTGTGGGTGGGTGAGCTTCCCGTCCAGCTGCCTCCATTCCACAGCGCCCATCCATCGCCGTGGGGGTGACCACAGCGCCCACCCATCGCCATGGGGGTGACCACAGCACCCATCCATCACCTGGGGGTGACCACAGCGCCCACCCATCGCCATGGGGGTGACCACAGCGCCCATCCATCTCCTGGGGGCGACCACAGCGCCCATCCATCGCCGTGGGGGTGACCACAGCGCCCATCCATCGCCGTGGGGGCACTGGCTTTGTCTCCAGTCTCCGCCAAGCGTGAGCACAGCTGCTGCAGGTATTCACTTGCAGGGTTTCGGGGGAAGGAAAGTCCTCATTTCCCCGCGATGAGGACCAAGGTGCGGTTCGCTGGGTCAAGGACAGGCCTCAGCCCTGGAAGAACCCGCTGACGGCCAGAGTGCTGCTCCCCACGGGTCCACCGGGAACGTGCGAGTGGTTTTATTTTAAAACGAACAGGTGTGCCGTCGGATGCCACGCAGCTCGTCTGCACCTCTCCGGGGAGGATATAAATATCTCTCCACCTGCTCGTTCCCATCCTGACACGGCTGCGGCTGCGGGAGGCGTTGCCAGGAATTCGGCCCCTTTTCCTCGGGCTGCTGGTTTCCTCGCGCTGAGCTCCGAGTCTTCTGTCTTTGCAGGCAACGTGCGCTTCGCTGGGCCGTGTTTGTAAATATTTCCGGCCACTCGGTGGCTCGTCTTTTCATTGTCCTCATGGTGTTTTTGACAGAACAAAAGTTCTTCGTTTCAGGGAGTCCACTGACCAGTTGTCTGTGGGTTTGGCGTGTGGGGTCGACAGTTTCCTTCCTGCGTGGAGGTGTCCGAACCTGCATCAGAGCCACTGCCCATGTGGGCGGGGCTTCGGGCGCCTCTGCTGCCTGAGCGCCCGCAGCGCGAACCCTGGGGGTGAGAGCCCTGCAGCTTTAGTCCTCTGTCCAAACCACTCTGTGCTATTTTGCTCTTTCCTATACATTTAAAATCAACTTCTCTACATACGCACAGAAAGTCCGCCCACCAGTGTTACCAACACTGCGTCCCACCCCGGGTGACGGGGAGAACTGACGTGGGCGCCCGCTCAGGTCTCAGTGGGTAACAGTGCGCAGAGACCCTGCCGCACGTCGTTAGGTGACAACCGAATACTCCCCGGGTGGTGCTCTGGGAGCGGTAGCCTGTTCTCACTCCCGTTGCTTATTGACTGCTACTTGGGCCAGGGCTGGTTCTTGTCTACAGACCTGCATCTTAGAAACCTGCTGAGCTCACAGCAGGTTTTTCGTGTGAATGTTTAAGGTTTTATATGCAGACTTGATGTCATCTCTGAAAAGGGACTTTATTTCTTCTCCATCTGCGTGCCCGTCGCTGCCCTGCCTGCAGCTTCCGGTGCAGCCTCGAGTGGAGGGAGTGGACACCCCACCGCGGGCCAGTGCTGGCTGGAAGCTTTCAATGTGGTTGTAGCCCTGGCCGGTTGCTCAGTGGTTAGAGCTTCAGCCCTCAGACCCAGGGTCTCAGGTTCAATTCCCGGCCCTGTCAGGCACGTGCAGGAGGCACCCAATGGGTGTGTTGCTCTCACATTGATGTTTCTCTCTCCCTCCCTTCCTCCCCTTCACTCTCTCTAAAAATCAATGAAAAAAATATCCTGGAGTGAGGATTTAAAAAAATAATGTGCCCTGGCTGGTATGGCTCAGTGGATAGAGCGTCGGCCTGCGGACTGAAGGGGCCTGTGTTCGATTCCGATCAAGGGCACGTACCTCGGTTGCAGGCTCCTCCCCGGCCCGGGCCCTGGTTGGGGCCCGTGCAGGAGGCAACCAATCGATGTGTTTCTCTCACATCAGTGTTTCTTTCTGTCTTTCTCTCTCTCTTAAAATCAATGGAAAAATATCCTTGGGTGAAGATTAAAAAAAAAAAGTAAAAGAATCCCATGCGATATACAGGGGTGGGCAAAAGTAGGTTTACAGTCATAATATGAACAATACAATGATCAATAAATTACAACACAGGAATAAACTGTGCTTTGCATGCTCACAGCTGTGAGCCTGTTCTGCCCACCCCGTCTGTGGTCGATTCATGTGTGCTGTTTGTGGCGAAGTTCTGAGCGGGGTTCGTGAGCAAGACCGACCCCCACTTTTCTCATTTCACCGGGTTTTGGTGTCGGGTGCTGTTGGCCTCATGAAAGGAGTGGACACGTTTTCTTCCTCGTCTGTTTTCTGGAAGATAGTTGGTAGGCGTAATTTTTTAAACATTTTTGGTAGAATTTGCCAATGAAAGTGTGCGGGCCTGGCGTGCGTAGCGTCCTCGCGTTGGCGTTCGATGCCTGCGGGCTCGGCGCGATGCCCCCTCTCCGTCCCTGGCGTGCCTTGTTTTCAACTTCATTTCTGCTTTTCCAGGGACGCCTGGGGTGTATTTGCTCTGGCTTTTCTGACATGTTCATCTGAAGCTTGGATCGTGGGTTTCGAGTTCTTTTTTCTTTTACAATCCAACACCTAATGCTATACTGTCCTGCTAGCAAATTTTGATATGTTGCATTTTCACTTTCATACATTTTCTAATACGTTCTCATTTCTGAGTATTTCCTAATTTCCACTGAGCCTTCCTCTTTGACCTGAGGATTATTTAGGAGCATTTTGCTTGAGTTTACAGATTTGGAGGTTTTCGTGTTCTGGCCTTGCCACTGGGTTCTAGTTTAGCACCGATCGGCCGAGCGCGTACGCGGCAGGCTCCGGTCCTGCTCAGTCCCGAGAAGTCCGTCTGACCCGGGACAGGGCCTCTCGGGTCCGGTTCCTCCTCTCAGGTGACGACATCGGGTCTGTGACTGTCCTTTCCTCTGAAAGTTGTGACTTTCCTGGTTCCTCATGCGCCACGTAATTTTAAAAATCCTATCCCAGGCTTACACAGTCTCGCCAGGAGACTCTGGGGCGTCGCTAAAGCCTCTGGGAAATGGCAGCTCTGAGCCAGCAGGTCAGTCTGGCTGGACTGAAGCTACAAGTCCCCACCAACTTGGTTTTCAAACTTCTGAAAGGCTGCTCGGCTCTGTCCCATGGCACCCCCCCACCCCCCATGGGCCGGTCTGGGACCAAGTGCCCAGAGGACCGAGCAGGGGGGTCCACGGGCCTCCTGGGACTCAGCCCTGGAGTCAGGAAGGAAGGTCCCATCCCCAGAGCTCTGCCCTGGGGGTCCTCCTGCCACAGCCGCCGCCCAGGGACAGCCCGGGCGAGGCTCCGAGAACAGAACGGGGACAGTGGGGATCCCCACCATATGGGCGTGGGGAGTCCCCGCTCCTGTTCCATGAGTCAGGCCTGGACACTCCTCCTGGTCTGTCCCGTGGCCCCTGCTGGGCTCGAGGCCACGCTAAGGGCAGCCGGGACCCTGGAGATGAGAGGTAACCTCCCTGCCAAGCGCGGCTCTGGTGATGCGCTCCGCCCGCCAGGCTGGCAGCTGTAGTCGCCACGGGCGCAATTACGCCGTCACCAGCGCCAGACTCCCAGATGCAGTTTGGAAATTGGATTTCGGTGGAATTGAGTGATGCTCCCTGCGGCGTGCACTGACACGCGTCTATTTCCAGCTCTGGGGGCCTGTGAGGGCGAGAGAGGTGCCTGAGCTTGGGCCGTTTCCCGGCCCCGGGCTCCCTGCGCGGCAGTGACCGGCGGCAGGTGGTGCAAGGACGCGTCTTTCTTGAACGAAACCCTGACAGACATTCCCTGCAAAAACCTACTCATGGGGACAGCCACAGCCTGACCCGCTCAGTGGGTTCCCACACACAAGGCGGCGGATACGCGTGACTTCCCTCTGGAACAGCGTTCTCAACCTTCCTGATGCCGCGATGCTTCAATACAGCTCCTCATGCTGTGGTGACCCCCAACCATAACATTATTTCCGTTGCTACTTCATCACTGTCATGTTGCTACTGTTATGAATCGTCATGTAACTATCTGATATGCAGGATGTATTTTCATTGTTACAAATTGAACATAATGAAAGCATAGTGATTAATCACAAAAACAATATGTAATTATAGATGTGTTTTCTGATGGTCTTAGGCGACCCCTGTGAAAGGGTCGTTCGACCCCCAAAGGGGTCGTGACCCACAGGTTGAGAACCGCTGCTCTAGAACATTCTGGCTGAGACACAGGCGACATTACTGCCTTGTCTGCATGGATATTCTCCTGGGCGGGCACCGTCCCCACGTCCGTCACCGCAGTGGGGAGCCCAAGGTCCCGCAGCCTGCCTTCCTCATAGAAGTTACTGGAACACACGCTCTGGTTCACCCATTTCAGCCAGACCCGCAGAGCTGAGCAGATTGGACCGCTTGCGAAACCTAACGCATTTCCTCTCCGGCCCTTTACAGACCCAAATGTGCCAACTCCTCGTCTATGGAATGCAACAGAGTCAAACAGGATCCCCACCTGGATCAGTTACCTGCACGTGGAGCCCCGCCTCCCGCATCCGAGGCAGACTGGGCCGATCAAGGCCGCCTCGGAACCTCCGTAACTCAGCGCCGGGAGCTCCTGCCAAGTGATTCAGAGTGAACACAAGATGAAAACCACGTCTCAAGTCTGTCCTGGGCAAGGTTCGAACGACTGGCTGCAGGCAACGAAAGGAAACATCTCCAGGTGGTTTTCTACCTAAAAGGCAGGGGCAGGTCCGGATTTTGAAGTGCCTGAACCTCATCTAATTTGGAAGCCTCCTTGTTACCTCCTTTATTTGCATTTAGAATTATGCAAATAAAATTCCTACAGCTTGAGAAAGGACCCGTGCAAGGAAGGGGTTGGGAAGGTTAAACCGTTGGCTTCAGGTAACTGCTCCCTGAGGCTTCGGAAATGTCACCTGCGGCCCCGCCCTGAGCTCCAGACCTGGCTCGGGTGTCGGCCCAGCTGAGGGTGCTGTACGCATGGCCCAGTGGGTCCTGATGCTCATCCAGGAGCCAGGACCTCAGGCCTGACGCCAGCAGCAGTGCCAGGAGCCTGGCCGGCGTGGACAGGGCACAGAGGTCGTCTCAGCCCAGGCCCCAGCCTCTTCCCTGCTGGGCTGCACCTGGGCACCCTGTGGGGGTGGGCCTTCCCTGCCGCTCCCGTGGCTCCTCCCTGTGCACCCCGTGTGCCCCGAGCCCTCACCTCCTCAGGACACCTCAGGTGGCCCACGGACAGTCACTTGGACTCGTTGAGGGACCCCGCCCGCCCCCCACAATGGGGAGCAAGGGCAAAGGACCCCAGCTGGACTCAGTGGATGGCCGGGCCCACCCCCGGGTCCCAGCTGGGCTGGGACAATGAGGTGTCCCATCAGGAGCCACATCCACGAGGCTCCTTGTCCGTCGTACCCGAGCCGGACCCACCAGAGTGACCGTGTTTTGAGTGTTGGTTTTACAGCAGAGCTGAGGCCCAGGGTGGCGGGGGCTGCCCAGGGTCACAGGGTAGCTGTACGCCCGAGTCACCCCTGCAGCCGCCTGAGCGCTGACGGCACTGTCCCCAGAGCTCCCCCCTTTCTTTGGGAGAACAGTTTGTCACACTTGGGGCTCACTTCATTTGGGGGGCAGCAGTCACACCAGCACAGAGGTCTCAAGACTGCTCTGAGAAAGGCTAGGAGGGAAGGCCCCGGGCCTCTGTCCACCTGGTCCCCCCTCCCCTCTCCTGGCCCCTCCTGGCAGCTGGAGGGAGAACAGAATGTCCCTCAGCCGTCAGGACCGTAATGGAGATGCCAGCACGTGCGGGCGGTGACCCGGACGGGCCTCAGCACGGGAGATCCCAGTCTCCTGGCCGGGACGTCCCCTCTCGCCCAGGGGACCTGGGACCCAGCGGCCCTTCCCTACGTGCCTATGCGGCCGCTGTGAACACGGCTGTGATCTGCAGGCCGGTGAGCAGCCCAGCTGCGGGGCGGGGCGGGCGCTGGGAGCAGCACATTCTGTCGCACCCAGAGGGAGCCAGCCGGGCTGGCAGGGGTCCAGGGGCTCTGGTGCGAAGGGCTGGCAACCCGCCCAGAGTGTGGAGCAGCGAGCAGGAGCTCCTGTGCCGGGCGACCTCCCCCTCTGCTCTGCCCCCGCCCCCCATCCTCACCACTCCTGGGAAAGCTGGTCGGGGTGGTGATCACAGACCCTGGGGCTGAGCTGGAAGGTAGGTGCATGCCCACGCACATGTACACAGGCACATGCATACATGCACACGCACACACATAGGCACATGCGCACACACATACACACAGGCATGTGCACACAGGCACACATGCACACATGCACATATACACATGCACACACACACACTGACCTGTCAGGTGCAGGGGTAAACCAGGCGTATGAACCCCGACAGAAAGAAAGACACCTATTAAAAAGGGTTCCTGGCGGCTAACTGTCCTCAAATAACAATTAAAAAAACAGTCTAGCAGCCATTTCTGCACAGGGGCCTCTCATGCAAACCCCACATCAGGGCGAAGCCTGCATGGAGCTGCCTGCCTGTGTTCCTGCACCTGAGCCAGCCCTTGTGAAGGTTTCCTGGATCCCATTTCAACCAATAGGACGGAGGCTTTCCCATCCAATTGGAGCTACACAGCTCCGACCAATCAGGAGAGATCTATTCTGACCAATCAGGACAGTGCATTTTGGACCAATCAAACTATGAGGATTTGGAGTCCTTATTTGCATGAGGACGGACAGTCAGAGACTAGGGATGGGGACTTCTGTCCATATAAACCAGTTCCCCTCTGGCTTTGGAACACACTTTTTCCTCCCACCTAAGACTGAAGGCTGTGTGTCCCTGGCTGAGCTGAAACACCAAAGATGCAGCACTTACTTTTATTAGTAAAATCCGACCACACGTTGCCTAACGTCCACGCAGTTACTATCACCCCCACCTTGAGGCCACACTGGAGGGAGCCAGGTCCTTCCCTCCTGAGTCCTGGCCCTTGTGTCTCAGCAATCGGGCCGTCCTCATCCTCATCCCGGGAGGGGCTGTGACCATGATGGTGGGTGTCTCCCGACTCCGTCCTGGTCTGCTGGGCCGGGGCACATGGGACATGGGGGAGACACAGCTCGAACGAAGGGCGTCCTGAGCTGGTGCCACTTCCTCTCGGAGGACCTGCCTGGCCTCCCTCCTGTCCACAGCCGCCCACATCCTCCCTGGCCGGGCTCCCGAGGCTGCGCCCTCCCGGCCAGCAGGCCGAGGCTCCTGTGTCCCTCCCTCCACGCCCCTCCCCCAGGGCAAAGGGCCACGGGACGGAGATTCTTGTGGTTCACACTCTTGTTTATTGAGCTGGAAACAGAGGCAAAGGGCGGGAACGCGCTCCCTGGGATCAGAGCGGCCCTTGACAGACGGGTGTCTGGTGCCCGCCACCTCCCCTTCCTCTCCTGCACCAGGCATCCTTCCCCCCAGATTTTGGTGGAAATTTGTCTTCTTCATTTCACAACATCCTCATCCATGACTCCGCATTCTCTCGGCCGCTGTGAACCAAATTCCCTCGGCATGCGACTTACATTTTCACTTCTTTTGTGGCCAATAAACAAGCACATTTCATTTTCTGAACAGCAAGGACCACATTCCCTACAATTTGCTGCTTTTGAGGCATCTTCCCGACCTGATGAACCAGGAACGTGGAGAGCAGGGCAGGGCGTTGTTGGGCAGAGGAAGGGTGGGGAGCGGGGTTTCGAGTTTCGAGGGAAGGTGGGCCTCGTCGGCCCCTCTCCCTCCTCCTTCTTTCCTTTCCTCTCTTTAGTCAAACATCTCAGAGAGATGACAGGGCGGTGACAGGTCATCTTAGACTCGGGCGGCGTTTCCATCACGTGCTAATATTCCCAGGCTGTCCCCCTTCTATTTTGAGGGCAATTTCTTCCAAATCTGGACCAATGACCTTGTGATTAGTGAAAACTACTGTTGGCAACTGGACGATGAGCCCTGGGGAATGAACGAAAACGCCAACTAGACCGTTGGTGCTTCTGTCCCCATCGCCGGGAAGGTGGGCGCCTGGCTAGGCTGCTTCGAGGGGCCTCACGGCCTCCTTCAGGCCTGTCTCAGCGACGCTCCGAGTGCCGGGGGCGTAGCTGATCACGGGGCGTCTCTGTGAAGCTGTTTCTCCAGAGTCGCCCTGGGGATCTGGCCACCAGCCCGCGAGGAGTGAGCGCTGGAGCCACGCCTGATGCGTGTACACGGCCGGCTCTCCGCGCTGTGCGAGAAAGACTTTGTCGTACAGTCATTCACTTACCCAGTTTCCCCCGAAGCCATGGGTTTCATTATACGTTATCAGCATCTAAAATGCAGAGAAGCAAAAGTGAATGATAGAAATCACCCGGAAACCCCGGGCCCACAGGATTGTTTTCGGGTGGTTTGGTTTCCCACCTGTCCTCCCTCCGGAGCGGAGCCTATTTGTTCACTTTGAAGGGTAGTCGGCTTGCTTTTCCAGGTTGTTAATCATACTTCCCAGCATGACTTGGTGGCCAGGTATGTGCAGCCGTCGCTGTGCGGGCAGGGCTTGCCTTGTTTGATGAGTCACTGAGGCCTGTGCCGTCCAACACGGAGCAGCTGGTCTGCTGGGAGCTGGGTGCTGGAGGGGTTCTCTGTGGGTCTCCTGAGAGCAGAGGCACGTGCGGTCCTCCTGCCCGAGGAAGCGGTTGCGCCGGCCGCTTGGAAGGCACGTGTGTCCCCGGGCAGCCACGGACAAGGTGTCCGTGAAGGACCTGGGTCCTCGCCTGTGGCACACAGTTCCAGCACATGTGCCCCTGGCGCTCTGCATGGCCTGCGGGAGGGGCTGGGGACCTGGCACAGAAGATTCCGACAGACTCAGCGTGAAGCGTTGCTGTCGTCATAATTCTCTGTCTCTGACCCAGGAGTCTCGTGTCTCCTGCCAACATCCCCAAACCAGGGCAGCCTCTCCAGTCAGCTTGCAAGTGGGGAGAAACCTCAGCCCCTCCAGGCCTGGCTGGCAGCCTGGGAAGGTCCAGGGGAGAGAAGAAAGGGTGATGTTAACACCCCAAGGATAGCCCGTGCAGACCCAGGTCCGTGTGGGAGACGCCCGGACTCCAGCCTGCCCTGAGGCGTCAGCCTAGTTCACGGCCTCAGCCCTGGTCCTGTGTCCCCGACATCAGCAGGCTCTTGGGTGCTCCTGGTTACTCACGGGGAAAGCGGGGGTGCCACTCCCAGAGACTGCCCTCTGCTGCCCACTGCAGCTGGAGGAAACGCATCAGCTCCCTGGCCTGACCCCCCTCCCCCCGCCCTTTCCTGACTGGCTGGGTCCGTCCCAGGTCCTGGGTCCTTCCCGGGAGGCCCCACCTCACCCTGCCCTGCGTGCCCGGGGCTGCTCCCAGCAGGAAGACTCGGGGTTGACTAGCCACTCACTCTGAGTCAGCGTTTGCCGTTTCTTGGAAAAGGAGCTGCCCGACTCCCCACACTGCAGGGAGGAAGCGGGGAACAGGGCACGCGTGCTCCCTCCTAGGACTGCACATCAGGCTCCCAGCCCCTCCGGTCTCCCCACCACAGGCCAGGGCCTCCGTGACTGCCCCGCCCGCAGGGCCACTGAGGCACCGAGAGCCTCAGGCTGCACTGAGGCCCAGGGAGGTGTGGCGCAAGGTCCTCGCCTGCCCCCAGGTTCTCCGTTGGCCGGATGCACGTGGAGGAGCGGAGGGGGCAGGTCGCAGCCAGGAAGGGGTTAAGGGGACAGGACTCGGAAGCCCTCACACAGGCCTCCAGGGGCAGTGCCTCCAGGGGCAGTACCGTCTGCTCTAAATGCGGACCAGAGAGACAGTTATTTTTAGGAAGCAAATGGTAATGATTATGGCCTTGGACTTAAGTAGCCATTTAGTCATAAACGCTGAATTCACAGGCGGCAGCAAACAGCATTTTCCTCTCACTGATGACAGGGCTCGGCCAAGGCGGCCATTGTTCTTGCTCTGAATGCATGACAGACAGGGCCTGGGATCACCATGGCAGGGTGTGGGGCATCTGCAGGGAGGAGGGGGCAGGGTGCATGGGGCATCTGCAGGGAGGACGGGCAGGGTGTGGGGCATCTGCAGGGAGGAGGGGGCAGGGTGCATGGGGCATCTGCAGGGAGGACGGGCAGGGTGTGGGGCATCTGCAGGGAGGAGGGGGCAGGGTGCATGGGGCATCTGCAGGGAGGACGGGCAGGGTGTGGGGCATCTGCAGGGAGGAGGGGGCAGGGTGCATGGGGCATCTGCAGGGAGGACGGGCAGGGTGTGGGGCATCTGCAGGGAGGAGGGGGCAGGGTGCATGGGGCATCTGCAGGGAGGACGGGCAGGGTGTGGGGCATCTGCAGGGAGGAGGGGGCAGGGTGCATGGGGCATCTGCAGGGAGGACGGGCAGGGTGTGGGGCATCTGCAGGGAGGAGGGGGCAGGGTGCATGGGGCATCTGCAGGGAGGACGGGCAGGGTGTGGGGCATCTGCAGGGAGGAGGGGGCAGGGTGCATGGGGCATCTGCAGGGAGGACGGGCAGGGTGTGGGGCATCTGCAGGGAGGAGGGGGCAGGGTGCATGGGGCATCTGCAGGGAGGACGGGCAGGGTGTGGGGCATCTGCAGGGAGGAGGGGGCAGGGTGCATGGGGCATCTGCAGGGAGGACGGGCAGGGTGTGGGGCATCTGCAGGGAGGAGGGGGCAGGGTGCATGGGGCATCTGCAGGGAGGACGGGCAGGGTGTGGGGCATCTGCAGGGAGGAGGGGGCAGGGTGCATGGGGCATCTGCAGGGAGGACGGGCAGGGTGTGGGGCATCTGCAGGGAGGAGGGGGCAGGGTGCATGGGGCATCTGCAGGGAGGACGGGCAGGGTGTGGGGCATCTGCAGGGAGGAGGGGGCAGGGTGCATGGGGCATCTGCAGGGAGGACGGGCAGGGTGTGGGGCATCTGCAGGGAGGAGGGGGCAGGGTGCATGGGGCATCTGCAGGGAGGACGGGCAGGGTGTGGGGCATCTGCAGGGAGGAGGGGGCAGGGTGCATGGGGCATCTGCAGGGAGGACGGGCAGGGTGTGGGGCATCTGCAGGGAGGAGGGGGCAGGGTGCATGGGGCATCTGCAGGGAGGACGGGCAGGGTGTGGGGCATCTGCAGGGAGGAGGGGGCAGGGTGCATGGGGCATCTGCAGGGAGGACGGGCAGGGTGTGGGGCATCTGCAGGGAGGAGGGGGCAGGGTGCATGGGGCATCTGCAGGGAGGACGGGCAGGGTGTGGGGCATCTGCAGGGAGGAGGGGGCAGGGTGCATGGGGCATCTGCAGGGAGGACGGGCAGGGTGTGGGGCATCTGCAGGGAGGAGGGGGCAGGGTGCATGGGGCATCTGCAGGGAGGACGGGCAGGGTGTGGGGCATCTGCAGGGAGGAGGGGGCAGGGTGCATGGGGCATCTGCAGGGAGGACGGGCAGGGTGTGGGGCATCTGCAGGGAGGAGGGGGCAGGGTGCATGGGGCATCTGCAGGGAGGACGGGCAGGGTGTGGGGCATCTGCAGGGAG